CCACCCCTGTAGGTTTCATAGTGTGGCTCCCGGACAAGCATCTGCATCACCGGGGAAAGAGGTGGGGTCCTGGGGCCGCACCTCTAGGCCCCCTGGCCTTGAAGTTCTGAAGTGGGGCAGGGAGGCTGCGTTTCCTCAGCTCCCGCAGCCCCCGACGCGTGGTCTGAGAAGCAGCGGCTGCTTCTGTCCGACCTCATCAGAGCAGCCCCGCTCTGAGTTCCCCGTGCCGCCCAAGGAGGCGAGAAAAAGAAAGGAGCCTGGAGGTCGGCCAAGAAAGACAGAGACCCAGGGAAATAAATCCGGGGCAAGGCCAGAAAGAAGACACGGTCCAGAGGCAAAGTTTGGGACCAGCTCAATAACCTAGTCTTGTTTTTTGTTTTTTAAAAACCCTCACCTGAGGATATTTTTTCCATTGCTTTTCAGAGAGAGTGGAAGGGGGGGGAGAGAGAGAGAAACATCGATGTGAGAGAGACACATTGACTGGTTGCCTCCCACACGCGCCCCGACCAGGCCGGGGATCGAGCCTGCAACCGAGGTATGTGCGCTTGACGGGGAATCGAACCCACAACCCTTCAGTCCCCGGGTTGACGCTCTAACCACTGAGCCAAACCAGCTAGGGCATCTAATCTTGTTTGACAAAGCAACGAATGACAAACTCTGTCGGGAAGTTCCCAACTGCAAGCTTACAGCCCAGCCGTTGTCTCCGAGAGACTGAAGAGCCGCGGCTCCTTGGCCAGGGCGGCCCTGCGGGAGCCCTTAGGAAGGGGCTTATTCAACGAGTTTCCAAGCACAGAGCTCAGGTACACCAGAAACACCGGGGGTGGGGATGCCCAGCTGCTGGTGAAGAGGCTTGAACAGCGGGTCCCACCAGCTGCACATTTTGGGGGGAAAAACAAAGAACCAGTGGGCTCTGTGAGCTATAGGAGGGCAACAGCTGAGACCTGGTCCCCTGGGCCCATCCCCTCATCCCCACGCCCTCCCGAGGTCTAGGACAGGCCATGGTACACAGCAGGCCCTCAGGAGTGTCTGCTGAATGAATGAGTGAATACTTTAGCGGATCCTGAGCCACTACCCAGGCCGCCTTGGGCCTGTCTCCTAGACTGCTGTGCGGTTCATGTGACAGGGAGGGAGCTGGGCCTGCTTCCCAGGCCCGTCTAGGAGGCAAAGCCCTGCGCTGGGAGGCAGGAGGCCGAGTTCTAGTCCTGGACTCCATCTGAGCCTTGGGCCGTCCTGTCCTGTCCTGTCTTCAGGCCTTAGTTTCTTTATACGTAAAGTGGACATACAGCTGAGGCCACCTTTCTCCTGAGCACTTGCAACACCAGCCCTGGCCCCGGGGAAATTCTAAGGCCGCACCTCCCCAGGGAGCACCTACTACGTGCCTCCTGGACACAGGGAGAGGGGAGTGAGAACTGGCCTCATGCGCCCGATCATTCATTCACCCTGCAGACATTCCATCAGCGCCAGGCCCATGCCGGGGCACGCAGAGACCTCAGACCCATCTGCCCGCACTCCCCGCCCTCACAGGATGCGGGGTGCAGCAGCCTCGGACGCCGGACAGGGCCTGCTGCGAGGCTGAGTGCTTCTCTGGGGTGCAAACCCACCGCTCCATTAGCTCCTCAAAACCATCCAGAACCACTGGTCTAGCCAGAAACTCATGACTCTCAAATACCAACGTGGCGAGTGCTCAAGTGAGGACAGGTGGCAACCGCGGGACCCCAGGGGAATGTGTGGCCAGCCCCTTGGGACGGGTGGGAGAGGTCAGCGAGGCCTAAACCCGGAGCCCATGGAGAAAGCTGAACTCTCCGGCGACCAGCTCAGAGCCTCCCCCTGGGCTCCACGCACGTGTAGACACAGCCTTCGGGTTGAAAAAGTGCTTTGAGATCCCCATTTATCTCACTTATTTGAAACGGAGGAGGCAGTGGTGATGTGAGTCACGCAGACCCCGGCTCTGAGCACCAGCGGGCTGGTGGGAGGAGGAGGGTTGTGGAATGACTTCCTGCCTTTATCCAGGCCTTTTCAAAACACACACACGCACACACAGGCAGCCTCCATCCATCTGAGATAGCCCCGTCCGTCCGGCTCGTGGGAAAGGAACTGGCCAAGGAGCACCCCGGCTATTTCGGGAAGCCTTTGAGAACACGCTTCCTGGAAGCACTGCTGTTGCCCTCAGCTCTCTGCACCCACAAGAGAAGCTGCGCTGTCCCTGTCCTCGGTGGGAGCCGCTGGAGGGGCACAGGGAAAGGGAGGGGGGCCCAGGAACCCCGGGCATTTGCCCACGGGCTACGGGCGAAAAGCAGGGGAATAGAGGGCGGAGCCCCTACTGTGTACCAGGTGAGCCATCTGCATCGTGCCCACGCCGTGCCCACAGTGGGGAAACGAAAACCGAGCCTCAAAGGCGGAACCTAATTTGACCAAGGTCACCTGCTAGGGAGGGGCAAACATGGGATTTGAAACCTGGTGTGAGTGCAGAGCCCAAGCTTGGGACCCTGCAGCTGGCTGGCGACAGAAGACACCCCGGGACCTGTCTCCTCTCTGCACATCTCCACGGCTCCCTCCGGTCAGCCTGTCCTCGCCTGACTCCCATCCCCAGCCGACCCCGGGACAGGCCAGGCCTGGCGTGAGAGGCCTGGATGAGCAGCCTGGAAGCCCAGCTGAGTGGTTCTCACAGGCCCTGGAGAATGTTCACGCACAGGCCCAAGTCCCAGAACTCCTGTGACCCAGCGCTGTGGGAGGCCGGGTTGTCCCCTCCCTGCGGTTCCCAAAACCTCCCAGCCTCAGGGCCCATTCCCATCATGACCTTGGACCCCGTACAAGTGAAGCTATTGGGGACATAAAGCTATTTTTAGAGGCCCGAAAGGCTAAGAGGATAATGTCTTCTCCCTCCTGGGGCGGGAGGAAGTGTCCCTGCCAGGGCCCTGCCGGGAAAGGTCCCTGATGCTGGAGCTGGGAGGAGAGATGAGCGCCTGTGGGACAGCTTTACAAAGGGCAGAGCCCAGGGCTGGGCCGCAGGGCTCACAGCCACTCTGTGGGGGGAGGTGCCTGGGCAGGGCTGGCCCGGGCCCTTTCTCCTGGGCATCAGCCAGGGTGCCCACGGGCTCTGACCATTTCTTCTGGGCATCCTGGAGAGGAATGCTGCCCCTAATGGGCTGTGGCCTCAGGCAAGCTATGCAACCTCTGAGCCTCAGTTTCCCCACTTGTAAAATAGGGAAGTAATAGTAGCATCTATTCAAAAGGCAAACGGGACTCAATCGGCAACGGCTACGAAGGGAACCCACTCGCTTCCCAGATTCCCGGCTGTGAACTGTGTGACAGTGCCATCCCTGAGCCTCGGTTTCTCCACGAATGACCTCCACGGTCCTGAGCTCTGGACCCTGCCTGATGAGGGCTGGAATCCTACTCCGCCCCGAGTGGCCGCAGGGCCCTGGACAGGTCCCTGCAGGTCTCGGCACCTGCTTCTCACCTGTCCAGGGAGAACCCTGCGGAGCCCCACCTGCCGAGTTAACATGAGACGGACTCAAGCTGCTCCGTGCAGAGCCGGCCTAGTCTCCCCTCGACACACAAACGCTACCGGCAGCATGATAATTACTGTTACTCTCCCGCCCTGGAAAAAAGACGCCGGGAGAGGGGGGAACCGAGCAGAATTGCTGGCTGCCGGCCTGGTTCTGCCCTTCCTGGGAAGCCTCCCTCCCCAGTAGAGAAGGGGGGGAGAGGAGAGGAGGGGGGAGAGGAGAGGAGGGG